ACGAGCCCGTGGATTTATGGCATTCATTTATCAGCCAGCCTCCATAAAATTGGTTCCCACACCTGGCTTGGTCATAAATAGAGCCCATCTGAGTGAGGGGTGGTGTGAGTGTAGAGGAATCATGGCTGTAGTGAAACGTTTTACCATTGGTTGCACTGTAGTTTCTCAGTTCAGCCCTTTTTTAAAATTCTTTTTCTGTGAAACAATATGCAGGCCAGCTTGGTATTATTACTTATTACTTAATCATATTTATTTTTTCCAGCACGGTACACATTGCATACTTTTTTTCAATTTTTTTCCACTTTTTTAACAGGGGAGATATGTGACTATATGGGTTAGGACATTTTGTCCGTAATTACTAGGCCACTGGATAAGATTGCGTAGTCTGCAAAATGATTTCACTATTGGACCGTTGAGCAATGGCCTTAACTTCAGTTCCACTAGGGACTGGTTGACCCTGCTTTCTCAGTTAATACTTCACGTTAGACTAAATCATCTGCTTTGACCCAGTGTGATGAAGACCCACTAGATGGGGAATAGATGATTAGGCCACGCAGGGAGCCTTTGGGACCACCTTCGTGGATGCCAGGGCAGGGAGATTCTGAACTTTGAGGAGCTCTGCTGTGATCCCACGTGCCTTGATTTATGATGATAATATTCAGACAAATGGCACAACCAGTCACATTTAACACTTCAGCTGCATTAAAATGAGCTACAATCACATACGTTTATTTGATTATGTATTTCATAAATCACTCAGAAAACCGTTCTGCATGGCCTAGCTGTGGTTATTCCTAGCCACATCACAAGAAAGCAATGTCCACAGTCAAAAAGTCATTTTTGTATTTTCCTGAAGCCCTGGGTTAACGTGTCCGTGAAGGTCGTCCTGAAGCTGTCCTGCATGGCCTAGCTGGGGCTGGTTTGGCTTGTGTGGAAGGCTTGGTGGCTCAGTAAGCAGCACTGTAGCCCCAAACCTCCAGGTCTCACTCTTACCTCCACCCTACGTTCATGGAGTTTGCCTGTTCTCCATGTATAGTGTGGGTTTCCACTGGATTATCTGATTTCCTTCCACAGTCCAAAGATACGCAGTTAAACAAGTAATCCTAAATTGCCAGTTTTGTATGATTGAGTCTGCATGTAGGTGCAGTTTTTCCCAGCCTTATTCCCTGTCCCATTTGGAATAGGCTCCCAGCTCCCCTCCATGTCTGAAATGGATGAATACAATTTGTCATCACCATTTCCATCATCCCTGAACATGAATCTGATTTAATAACATTAGAAAAGGACTTTGTCTTCTGTTCCGTAATTTCAGTTTAGAATGATTTGGCCATGCATTACTAGTATTATTAGTGCAAATCTTGGCCAAAGGCGAATAAAAACAGAAACAAAAACTGAATCTAGCCCAGGAGGCCAGGACCTTCTCACCTGCTCTGTAGGAAACCCATAGCTCCCCAGCATGTCCACACCTGCCCAGGTGTTTATCCTTGCTGGCTGCAAATTTTTTACCTCTGACTCAGATTGTTGCTTTGTTAAAACTATAAGGTAAAAATTTGTACATCTTCGACTCCTGCAGCATGAAATTCAATATGTCATGATGTAACACCCTGAATATCCCTCTTAGAAACATCTTCTGAAGATGTTCCATCACACAGTTTAAATACCCACCAGACAGCCTTCAAAGAATAACCTGGCAATGAAAAGAATTTAATACATTTAAATTAGTTTGGCTTCTGTTTCCTTTATATGCAGCCCTGAAAGATGGTAAGACTGTGATAAAGTGGTTTTAAGTTGACTTAAAACCACTTTATTTGGGGGTTATTTGAACGATGTATTCAATTCAGGTCTGTGTGATTTATGGACTTTTTTTTCCCCCAGTACTACCTGAATCAGGTTTTCAGAGATTGTTGATTTAGGGTGTTGTGATTCTGGGTACCTTAATAAATGACTGTGTAGCACTTGTCTTCCATGATTCATGGCTGTGTGATTATAGCTGCATGAATTAGGTCTGGGTGATTCAGGTCTTACGTTTTTGCTTGATCTAGGCTGGCTTGATTAATGATTACAACTAGGCTTATACACCAGGAATGACATCATGGATGTCGTAGACAGTTCTCGTGGCTAAGCTAAGAATTGAAGATGAAGGCACTATAATACAGATGCGAACCTTGCATTTTTTCTTCTGTTTTAGTAATTGCTGTCTGATGGTTGAACAAAAATCTAATCCTGTAAGGCAGCATTTCACCAAGCCAAGTTTGAGTTATTGTTCACAAGTTGTATTGTGTTTTTGTTATTTAAGTTTATATTTAAATTTACAGTCAGTATTCAATAAATGCTATGTTGAGAAATTTTGTGTATCGTTTATTGTTATTAGTGTGATATTTTACCATGCAAATAGAGGGGAAAACGTCCAATTATCGGAAAAAAAAATTGGCAGTATATATTGCCCATCGGCTGACCCTTACTCTTATGTATCGGCATCAGCATCGGCTATTGAAAAACCCATATCGGTCGACCTCTAATATTAATGCAATCAGCTCTTTCTGTACAAGATCCCAGTATAATCAGGCTGACTACCAAGCTGGTTGGGGATCTCAGCTGGGGGATGGGGTTCCCCGATTCCTAGCTTCGTAGTAGTTGAATAACAAACATCAATTTGAGGGTAGAACAATGGGAGGGTGGATGACAGAATTGCATGGGGGGCATGCAGCATGTGTGCCTAAAGGAGGAGCTGGCTTATGAAGTGATTAGGAGAAGTTGGCAAGAGCAGATAGCAGAAGGAAATGGTAAGAGGATGGAAGAAAGAAGAAGCTGGGGCAGTCACCTGGAAGATTAATGAGTCAATGCCAGAGTGTCTTGGCACAGAGTGAGGAGCACTGTCTGATCAGGCAACATTCACATCTTGGAAAAGCCCCATGCAGAGGCCTTTTGCATACTTTTTGAAATTATGGTGCCAAGGGCTTAAAGCATGGTGAAGGAAACAGAGCTGAGAACAGCCATTCCAGCAAAAATTACTACAGCCACTTTAATGCTGGGTGATGAAAGAAGCATGCCTGTTGTGTTTAGGAACTCTTTCACATGATGGTGTGAATAATGATTAAAAAAAATCATCATAAGAATTGGTTTTTATTCGGTCATACAAAACAGCAGTGAGAGACATTTACAGCGAATGTACTCATGCAGTCATGTCCGTGTACAGCCACAAAGCCGAAGTCGTTTATCTGGCTGGTGCTCGCTGTTCTCCAGTAGCATAAGGACATCAGTATTTAGAATTGCAAATGGCCTCTTTTAGCCACCCCCAGCTTATTTGTAATCTATTGAAACAGCATGACAGAATACATTTGTTGCGCGTGTGATAGATATGTGTTTGAGGAAACGCTTTGTTCATTTTGAGCTCTACCTCTGCTATTTGGTCAATTTTTACTGGATCTGCGGAGATTGTATCCTGGGACTTTGTAGACTTAACAGTAAACACTGGTGGTATTTGTTGTTATCATCATCATCACCATCACCCCCACCACCACCACCCAAACTCACTTGTCTCCACTTTGTTCTGGTGAGGTGGTTATGTTTTGGTCATGTGATAGCATTGCACCCTTATTGGTCATAGATGACCCAGATTCTTGTATGATGGCAGCTAGGCACATGCAGGGTGCTGGAATGTTCTCCTGGATCTTGAAACCCCTGTCCAAATCGGCTAACAGTCTTGCTGCACCGTCATGCTGAATTTGGCCGCAGTGAACTGAAAGCACTGCGTGAGACAGGACTAATGCATCACTAGTGCTCGGTGAGCAGAAGGGTGAGTGCATGCAGCATGACAATCAGAACGGCTGCCCTGGCTGGGCCTAGGGCTGCTTTACAGTCCACAAGATTGGCTTTAGAGTTTGAGTGCATCGCCCCCACACCAGGCAGCTATTACAGTAGAAGATATCACTGCTTTTGCAAATCTGAGAGCAGTGGTCTCCAACGTTTTTTACAGTGAGTTACATTTACAAAGTAAATAATCTGGAGAGCTACTAAGTTGCAACAGTATATTTTGCCAGCTGGGGGGTCCCGCCTGAGATTCTGTCAACATGACAGGTACATGCATAAAATGCTTTCAGGTACTATAGTACTACTAATGTTAAACTTACTAGAATGTCCCCTTTGTGTGCCAGTCTAATCAGACAGTCTAGTCAGAAGTGTGTTCCCTCCACAACATGCAACCGTGTCCTGGGCAGCTCCCGCTGCCTTCTGAGACACGCCTGTCAATCCTCTGGGAATAAAGCTGTTGGTGAAAGTGAGTATCCCACTGAGAGTTTGCAGTTATGGGCACAGGAAGACTGACCTACAGGAAGGGATTAGCTGCTGCTTAAAATATTTAGGAAATTCAAGCTGTTATAGTAACAGAGACTATTCACAGTAGAAAGAAGTAGCATGAAAGCCTGTCTTACTCCATTACTATGAGTGATAAGGTAGCTTTTATTTCAGTTTGTGGGGGAAAAATTCTTTTGGAGTTTGTGTGTGTGTTTTTTTCACTTTTTTCACTTCAGCAGGATGTATTGTCTGTCAGGAAAGTGAATATGAGACCTTTATGCAAAAAGCAGGGTTTTACTGATTATCCGAAGAAATTCAGCCCCATAGTTCAATGGTGAGCACATCATCAATTTCAGGAGGCTCATATTTGCATCCTTCATTGAATCACATTTGTGTGATACTGTGACATGTTGAATCTGAAGTTAAAGGGTGAGGATTTCAGGTATAAGGAGGTCAGATCTCCGCCTACCTGCACTATTAGAGTTCATCATAACATAATAACTATGCATGTTCAAGATCAGCTTTTGTATCGCTCCAGGGATGAGCATTTATTGCATTTCCCACTAAAAGATAATGGAGGCTATGATGCTTTTTGGCCATAGCTCTCTTTTTTTCTGCCATTCAGCTTTCCTATGATTATCTTGTGGTGTCAAGTGGTCCATTGAGACTGTAGCTCTTACCCTTCTGCTCTTTTGTTTATTTTTCAGCCGTGCAATTAAAACCAACCAGGACCTCCTTGCAGAAACTCCCTGGACAAACATCTTGTATGATGATTTCTGGGGAACGCTTCTCACCCACAGCGGCAGCCATAAGTCTTATCGGCCCCTATGCACCCTCTCCTTCCGCCTGAACTACGCTCTGGGTGCTTTGGATCCATGGGGGTACCATTTGGTCAACGTGGTGCTCCACTGTGCCGTCACAGGCCTCTTCACCCACCTCTGTTGCTCCTTGCTGGGTGGAGGCCGCTGGACACTGATGGCCGGGATGCTCTTTGCCTCACATCCGGTGCACACGGAGGCAGTGGCTGGTGTGGTGGGACGGGCAGATGTTGGGGCAGCACTCTTCTTCCTGCTGTCGCTCCTGTGCTATGAGCGACACTGCGCCCTTGGTCTGCCCTTGGCCCAACTCTCGTTACGCTCCTGGGCCTGGTTCTTGGGTAGCCTTGCTTGTGCTACCTGCAGCATGCTCTGGAAGGAGCAGGGGGTCACTGTGCTGGCCGTGTCAGCTGTCTATGATGTCTTCATCCTGCAGCATCTCAAAATCCGACAGCTCTTCCTCCTCCTCCACAAGGTACCTGCTGTTAATCTTGTCTATGTCTGTTAGTTTCTGATAATATGTTGCTGTTAACTCTTCCAGAAATCCATTATTTGAAACCAAAGCCAAAAAAAGTGTGTGTATGTTTGTATAGACAGCTGGAGCTTGCTGTTCATTAAGTGTTTCTGTTGGAAAATATTGCTTGTGTTGGCAAGTAGACATATGATTGAGTAAATTGGATCTTTTTGTCCTTGCTTGTAAATGAGAGGAAAACATGAAAGTTAAAAACAGAGCGTAGAGACAAAAGACATGTTCACCATTTGAGTGTGTGGGGGAGAGGCGACTATCTGTCTGTGAGGCTGTAGCTAGCTGTCTCCTTTTGTATTGCTGTAGTAGTCCCTCAGCACCCTCCTGACCTCTCTGGAGGACTGAGCCCACATCTGTGCTCCCAGCCTGCAATTCACAATTATTGTGCAATAATTGTGCAATTCACAATATGGATAATCTTTAGGAGCAGTTGGCACTGTGATGCCTTCTTAGATGTTTAGTTTATAGGGATGAGTCAATCTGAATTAGCTGCTGTAGATTTATAAAGTCGGACACTTGCTGTGAGATGGGCTGGGTGTGGGATCAGGGGGGGTTTGTGTTCAACACACGGCGTTGAACACAACCATAAAATGCTGTAGTAGAACTCTCTCACATCTTTGGCTCAGCAGGAGCTGGATGGTGGATGGAGATGGGGGGTGGGCTCTGATTATTTTGTTCCTTTAATTTTTTTTTCTCTCCTGGTCTTCTCAGACAGTCTCTTTCATTATGACTAGATTAAATACCTTCAGTACAATCAGAGCTGCTTATTTTTATTCCCTCCCAAATGGGTTTTTCTTGGTCTACCTGTTTACCACATTAGGCTAGACTCGTATGTTCTTTGGATCAATGTCTTTATACATGGAGTCCAGTCAAGGTTAAAAAACTGAAGGAACAAATCTCTGCAGCATATTGCTGAGCCAAAACAGTGGTTAAATTTCTTTTTGATTTCAGGATAAATCTGTGAGCATGAGCATATTTTTGTCCAGAATATGAAAACACCAAGATGAAAAAAAAGAACAGAGGTCGGTGGCATAAGGTCTCAACATTCAAAAGTACAGCTGATCTGGTTTAATGAATGTTTTGTCTACAGCCAAAGTCTGTAGAGGGACCTGTGGGTTGTTGAGGGGTGTTCCTTCACCTTCTGCCATGATCCCATGTCTCTGAGCTGCTCAGTCATCCAGAAATGACCTGAGCCTCCTCTGATTGGGGTATAGTGTCCCCCATGCCATCTGTGTTCTCCCGGTGATGCTGATAGTGAAGGATTTACATGTAATCATTTCAAACCAGTGGAGGGTGTTGCTTTTGTTCCAGAGTGTTTCCCCATCTTTTCACTGTAACCAATTGCCACAGTCATTGTGTTTTGGGTCAAGAACAATAAAGATGCACAGGGCCTATCGATGCTTCTGTTCCTCAGTACAGTTTTAGCAAAGCCATTTTGCCAGGAGCAGCATGCAACCCCCTTGTGTTAATTCAACCAAAGCCTCAGATGAAATGCTCTTTGCTGTTTATCCCTCTGGGGTCGAGTGTGTCGTTGACGACGCAGCATATTTTTCGCGTCTATTTCAGTTTATATCTTGCTGAAATCTTTATGTAGAATCATGGAAAAAAAACGCTGACTAAATACGTAATCTGTCTTATTTTCAAAACGTCCATTGTCGGAAGTATTAAAGTTTTTTAAATTAGGTTCATTCGGCAAAAAAGTAAACCATGTCATCTTTCTTTGTTTTACCTGCATCAGGGGTGTGTAGTACCGCTGTCACCCGAAGATTGCTATTCACATTCTAAATAGCATTAGCGTGTATTCGAATCATATTTGCATGGTAATTTGATGAACAACGCAATGGTGAAATGCGATCCAGATACATCCCCATCAGCGCCATAAAAGCGGGGGGGGGATGTGGCCAGGTGTCAATAGCTCATGCATACACATGAAAGTTGCTACATATTCAATGAAAGGAGCCAAAAATAGTGACATGAGTTAGGTTTTTCTTATTTATTTATCCAAATGAATGTTGCAACTACACCATTTAGTCAACTTGGTGATCAGATATCTGGGATTAAAACAAACTGCCAGCATTGCTTGCTATGTACTTTTATAATGTTTCTGCAAGTGTTCCAAACTACATTTTGCAATGTCTATACTTTGATGTCAAATTACAAGCTTAACATAAATCTGACATATTTACAAAGTACATTAAAATAAAGATGAGTTTAATGCCAAAACAAATATATAAGAAATCATTTATTTGCCATGAATTAAGTTTATGATATTGAAAGAAATGTGTGATCATGCCCCAGTCAGTGAATATGTGTTCCCTACCCCTAGACCCAGAGGGTTATGGATGGTAAATATTTTTTTGGATTGATCATAAAGCCAGAAGTTTAAGCTTCCCCTGAGTTCTTTCAAATTTATTGTATTAGCAATAGCTGCTGTTGCTAATTTAGCTGATGATCTGTGTGCTGGTATTCTTGATGCTACCGTGTATCTCTGAAGGCATGTGTGAACTCTGCAGGTCTCTTTGAATCTTGTCACCCCCTCCTTCAGCGGGAGCTGGGCACAACAACAAACCAGCAGATTAGTGAGGTCGCTGTCTGCCAAATAACAGCGCCTTTTTGTGTGTGATGTGATTGCAGTTATTTCCTGCCTGAAGAGTGAAGCCTGCTGTGGACAGTCCCCCTCTTTCCTCAACAAAATTCCCTCTCACCAGGCTCTGCCTGGATGGATCCATCTCTGCTTTGCTTTTTATTATTTTTCATATCTTCTGTGTCTAACTTTCCATACCCTGGAGTGTCTGTCTGCCAGCAGCAGGGTTTCCCATCTCTGCCCCAGCAGGAATATCTGGCCTCCTCCCATCCGCCCCTGTGATTCGTTTAGACTGCCCACTCATGTGACATTTTTCTAGTCAACTGACTTCACTCCAAAGATGCAGCATTTAATTTTTTAACCTAACAGTAAAATGATATTTCTTTCTGATTTTCTCCTGTTCTTTTAGACAGGTACATGAATCTTAACTGTGTCAATGTCCAACTCCAGCTAATTTGCCAAAGCATGCTTTCTGATACAGTTATCTCCATCTCAGACTTACTGATGAACAACAACAACAAATTTATTTTTGTATAGCGCATTATCACAACATTACATTGTCCCAAAGCGCTTTACA